AAGAGTGCTGGACAAAAACAAAAAAGAAAAATAATGACCGTGTTTGGATCTAACCTATTTTGGGAATCCCTAGCATGCACAGGAATTTGGACTGGCTACCCGGTTCTGGCTGTGAAAAAAGCCATAACTTCTTTTTAAGCTTATTTATGTACAGATCAAACAGACAGACTTCCAAGCGCTTTCATTTAACTTTGATGCCAAACTTTGATGTCTTCACCATTTACAGTCATCATTTTTATGTGCATTTAATATTATTTTTTAGTCTAAAATGCTACACATAAAAAGACCAACTTCATTTGAAATATGCAGCATTTTTGCTATTTGAAAACTCTGCATTTTTAATTTGTTCCTTATCAGTAGAGTACTTCTGGGGCAGAGAGAACATCAAGTTTTAACGCCTTTCAGTTGATTTAAATTAATATTTTATGTTTGTATTCAAAAGAGCTGGCTAATAGAAGGGCTCTGACATTTTTCCACCATCTTTTTTTCTCTGCCATGTGTTATATGAACAACAGTGGTWATTTCTCAACTGTTCAGCACTTTATTCCATGATGAACACCCAAAAGATGACATTTATACATAGTTGAATCCAGTCGGATCATTATTCAAAAGTCCAATGGCCAAGCACAGGACAGAGAGGCACCCCAACCTCTTGAGATTAAGACTTAGCTGATAACGTATCAATCCTTTGCTCGAGATGCAAATCCCTGCTTGTGCGCACTGGAAAGCAGAAAAAAATACATACAGGCAAGGGCAGCATTCCTCTCCCTAGGCCTCTATTCCTGCCCAACTCTGTCCTGAAGAAGACWGAAAACTGAGATAAGAGTGAAGCTTTTAATGAAAAAGGGGCCTGAATGATTTCTATTGCATTTAATAACCACTTCATCAGTGTCAGTAGATGCAAGGGCTGCTTGGGATTCCATGGCTGGTGAGGTGGAGGATAGTGCTCAGTTAGGATGCTAAAACCCTCTCCTTTTCAAGCTGGCAGAGGAGGGCAGTGTCTGAACTCAGCTTCCCACTCCTGCACACTCCAGCTACTGAAATCTGGCTCGGTTATAAAYCTGTAGCAGTCTAGCCCAGCASGACGGAGCACAGTTTGAATTTCTCATGACAGAATTACAGCYGGAGTGATGTCATGGTCACACTGCTCAGAAATCATCCAAGCTTCTGTTTAAGAAGAAAATAGTAGAGGACTGCTAGAAAAGCTAGGAAACATTTCCAAGAGGGATCTACTACCCAGAAACAGGCTGAGCTTTTGTTGCGGTACAGCTTAAGCACTCAGATTTAAGCTGCCGGAGGTACTAAAGCAGAGCTACCCCAGGCTTCAGCAAACCAAAATAACTTTTCCAGTCGGGATTCTGCCATCCTGCTGCTCCTGTTCGGAGCCTCACAAACAGCTCTGACCTTACTCATTCAAGAACATACCTTCAAGCAGGAAGAATTATTATTCCGTTCCTGACATTCCTGCACACTAACACATAACATTTTCTTTCCCTGGCTTTTGTGTTTATGCTGTTACAGCCTTCCAGGTGGGCCTAAGTTCTGAGAATTTAATGGACACACAAACCTTTTGTGTTCCTCAGCTGAATCTGCCTGGGTCCCCCAGCACTGGCAGAGTCAGCAAAAAGCCACCACCTTCTTATGCAAAGTCCTAAGAACTGAGCACTTCAGCAAGACGATTTTGGAAATGCTCTAGAAACATTAATTCTTCTATTACTTTGGTTAAAAGGAAGTGGCTGAACAGCAAAAAAAAATAGCCTGAGAGCTTGCAATTCCAGTGAATTTATCCATGCTGCATTTATGTGGTTGCAGATAGGATATACAAATAAAGTGTGGGAAAAGGGGAACTTGGAAGAGGAATATAATCACATTGCTGGGGCYAGAGAGCACAGAGAGAGAACTGCATCTTTACAGCAAAAATCCATCTACGCCATTACCCAGAATAGTGAAGAAAACAGAATATAGGGGAGAAAGTTTCCTCTCTAGGACAGATGAAGGAGGAGGAGAGCACTGAGAAGTAATCATTAGTAAAATAATTGGCTGCCTGCTTTGCACAGTTGCCACAAAATGTTTACGCTGTCGGTGCCATGAATGTGCTGGCCTGCCAAAGTCACAGCTGTGCCAAGGAACTGTCTGCTGCTCGGGTTGCTGCTGCATTTCACCTTGTAGATATTTAAGGCACTCTTGGGTCATCATCTTGGCCCTACCTCCTGGCTATCCCATGCACCGCACTGTGAGAACTTAGGGGTCTCCTTCTGAAACCTGCAGTTCCTATATGAATGCTACAGGTAACAGATACAACATTTCAAAACCACTTTTAATAAATGAAAATATTATACTGTCTCACAAAAAAATCAAAATATTAAAAAAAAATAGTAACAAGTTGGAAGACCTGTGTGACAGAGAACAAGAAAAAGAGCTGGTGTTTCATGACATAGATGGAAAAAAACATTAATGTCTCATGTCCAGGGAGAATGATACTGAGTTTTGCACTGTATGCAAGTGGGGCAGAAATGTCTCTTGATGAAAACAATTTGATTTCTCCCCCATTTTACAACTAACTTGAAGGAGTTCTGCATTAAAGCAGCAAGGATGCTTGTATTTCATGTCAAAATAGATGGACTTAAATTCAGGAGACTCAAAATAGGTTAACAGAGCGCAGGGACTCAATGCAAAAATTCCATCAAGAAGTCTCACTTATCAGAGAGAAATCATATGAAAGAAGGATATGCAAGGAAAGGCATGCATTGCACAGTAACTTACTCATATGCTTCTTGTGTAAAGAATGCTTCTTAGAGCACAGTCCTGGAAGATGCTGCAGGCTCCCTGTGAGTTGATGCTCTCAGTGCCAGTGGTGTTGGGCACACTCAGCACATCGCAAGGATTTACCTTTAATGGCTATCTGATCCAAAAGCCAAACTGTTAAATGAATAAAATCCCTGCATGCTAGATCAGGATATGTGAAGATTGCCTGCGTTGCTGAGAGATTAAACTATGAAATGAATAAATCTAGCATGTGATAGATAAAACAAATACCCATTAAAAATAAAAATCTCCTAACACCAGGAAGTGAAATGCATTCCCAGCACAGACTTGAAAGCCTCCGAGAAGAGACACATCCAGRATCAGAACAGATGGAGGAAAATAAACAGAAAATGCTTTCCAAGCATCCACCCTCACAAAGTGGTGAGCATAGTCCCCCACCCCTAAGAAAAAAWACAAATAACAAAAGCAAAATAAAAACAAGAAGCACTCTTGAAACACTTTCGAATTGACAAAAACAGATGGAAATCTCTGCTTTGAGCAGAAGCATACCTGAGGATCCTACTGGTTTTTACCTTTTCAGCCCATAGCTTAGTTGGTGTTGTCTTGAGCTTTGACAGAAAGTTGCATGGACTTCTGTAGCTAGAAGAGGTGTATGGATACCAGATGCTGTAGCTAGAAGAGGTGTATTGACACCAGATGCTTTACTCTTGATCTTGACTCCAATCTGCCCAAGGTAAGTCTGAATTTCACACTATTATGGTCCTCCTATTTGCTGACTTCAGAAATCACCTTCCTCCTCTAAAAACACTATGATTCAAGTTGTTTCCACACTAATTTTGTTAAGTCCATTTTAGGCAAGAAGATGCCATTTGTCTTCTCTCGTTCAAATCTCCACAATCAACTTTTTACATTTACTTAGGGCTCTGGGCACACTCAGACTGTAATTGAGCAAGAGTTGTTTAAAATAGGTTGCTGCCAATGGGGATCTCTGGAGGTTCCCCTGATCCATGAGAACATGGCAGGTGAAACATAATATAACCATTATGATGGCTGAGTGAGCTCTGGCTATCATAATGCAGCTTTTATAGCACTACAATATAGTTCTATATGGATGTCATCTTTGGTGACTGAACCTTTCAGCTCAAGATGCACTATATCCAGCTCAAGTCTTTGTCTTGTAAGAACAACATTATGGCTTTCAACTCAAGGCATCACGTCACAACTAGTTGCTTCTACCTGTGTTCTGAGCCGAGAGGATATAAACCCATTCCTAAGGCCATTTACTAACCCAAGTGAAAATCTGAGCCCAGTGCTGCTGGGGAGACACCAGCTGCCCTCACCAATGAGACACACATTAAGTCAGGACTGCCTTTCCTTACCTGGGCGGGCAGACCATAAACTGGACAAACATTCAGACTCCCTGAATTAGTGACAAATACCAGGCCTGAAAGAAAAAACACAAAAGGACATTTTAAGCAGTAGAAAGAACCAGAACCGCAGCTAATGTCTGAAAGCTAAAGCCAGGTATGTCAAACTAAACCACATTTGTGGGCAGAAATCTTTCAGTTGTCAGAGGAAGGAAGAGAGGAGGGGAAAAAAAATCCACACACTCTCAAGAAGTAGAATTTCAGTCTTCTACTCTGTGCCACAATGGGGTTGTTTCACCCATTTTCCGGTAAAAGCCTTGATCTTTTCTGATTTGTAGCCCTCAAAATTTTCCAGTACATCTTATTCATATTGGAATGAATCAGGGGAACCAAACTACTCCAGCATCCAAGCAGGATCAAGTTGGTTATTAATGATTTAGGCAGGCATTTGTGGGGGTTTCTGGGCTTGTGGCAGCTCCACTTTCAGAGTTTTAGGATGCACATCGTGTGATGGGAAATAGGACTTCTGTGCACTCTCTCAAGCTGTTCCATTACAGCTGATTTATAGCATGACACTACTTGTTCTAGCCCATAACCTTGAGCTTGTAAAATACACAGGGGAAAATTTACTTACTACTGTGTTCATCTTAATGCACTATTGGGAATTTTAAGTGGAGAAAAATACAGCAAAGAATTGGGACATTTAAAAAAAAAAAAGGAAAGAAAGAAAAAAGGCTTAGAACAGCATTCCTTTAATGGCAGCATATCTCAGTCCACTGTTTTCATTTAATTAAAGCTTTCATTTACATGTCCAACATACAGGATGGACCTGTTTGTCTTCCTCTGAAGGAGATAATCAATAGGGGAAAGGTAGACACATTTCAATGCTCATTAGATGCATACATTGACAGAGTTCACCACAGCAGCATGTACAAATGCCTTTCTTTCACTCCGAGCTAGTTTAGGAGCTTGATCAATAACAGAAGCCACAAGAATCCTTTGCAACCTTTCTATTAGCAGCAGATTATCATGCACACAACAGAACAATTTCCTGATAGTAAAGGAGCCCTCAGGACCAGAGCTGCAACACCGGTGCCAATGGTACTTACGGCAGTTCTCACAAGCGATCTGGGAAGTCCTGGGAGTTACATGGACAGCAGGTTGAACGTGAGCCAACTACAGGGTCTCCTCACAAAGCAAATCCCATACTTTGCTCCATTAGAAGCGTGGCTGGCAGATYAACAGCATTTAGCCCTACACAGTGCTGGTGATGCTGCACCTGGAGCACTGATCCTTTCAGGCCCCCTCTGCAAAAGGGGAAATGGGGAAATRAGGGCCCAGCAGAGCATAGGCTTTGTGAGGGCTGCTCAAGAGGGTGGCCTTGCTCACGATGGCAAAGAGGAGCTCAGAGTGATCCGGTAGCAACAGGGGAGCTACAAATAAGAGGTAACCACTCCATAGTGCCAGACTACAGAACAAGGGGCAGCAAAGGACCGCTTTGGAGGTTGGCCTTTAGAAAAACACCTTTTAATTGGAGGTTAGTGCCACACTAGAACAGCCTAAAGAGGCAGCTAAACTTCCATCTTTGTTGCAAAGAACACGCTCTGTTCTTGAAGTGTATTACAGAGATTTTCAGATTCACTTCATCTAACACTGAGGCGAATATATAATCTACCCAAAGTAGGGGATCACTTCCCTTGACTCRTTCTCTTCGATGGCAGCCTCCCCTCTGCATCACCATACAACTTCCTTGAAAGAAGAGACTGTCGATGTTACTGAGCAAATGTAAAATCAGCTCTGCATTTGCTGGCTACTCCCAAGAGATATCTTGCTCCTTACTTGAGCCTAAGCACTGAAAAGTCAGTCGCTGGCAGCAGTTCCTGAACTTTTCCCCTCTCCTTCCTTTTTAGTTATTTTCCTTAGGTAATATTCCAGTAAACAGTAAGTTGTCTAATGGCTAGTGCCAAGTTGATTATTATTGTTATTATAGTCTCTTATTTGTTTAATTAGTAATTATTTTAAATTAGAGAACTGAAGTGCAACTGGATAGATGCTATTCAGCAATAAAAGCTTGTTCTTTAAAATGCTAAAAATAGGAGTATTTTCAGCAGGCCGCTAGGTCATATGGCAAAGAATGTCACATGTTTATTATTTACATGGTTCACTGAGGATTTTAGGAGTAACCTTAATTCTCTTCAAGGAAGAAGCACACTTGCAAATGACTTTCCAACATCTCCTCGGGGGTTTTCAGGGGCGTTGGCAGAAATGAAACAGCAATTTCCATTGGTCTTTAGCTCGTGATTCGGGGATCTCCCAAACATCTGTGCAATGCTGAGGAGACAGCACCGTGATACAGCTGTTTGTGTGCAAAGGCACCCCGAAGATTCATGCTGCATTGACCTTGGTGAACTTCATGCTAAGCTGCTAGCACACGCTAGTTCAGTTTAAACACATTACAGAACGGCCCTGTGTGTGTGTGCTCATCCTAGACCTCCAATAGTCATCCTAATAGTTAAGCTTGCAATAGCAAAGTCCAGTACAAAACTGGCCAATATCAGGGTTTCTAGTCATCCATTCCTTGTCATTCTCAAATTTATCTTGCATGCTTTTTAGAAGGCTGGCCATAACTTCATGCCTATATTGATGAATCTTTCCTAAATCTATGATAAATCTTCTCCTCAGTAATGGCCCAGGAGTATAACAAGAAAAATATATCCCAAAAGACTTCAGGGTATCTGGCAAATACTTTACTTACTGTACATTTTTAAATACTTATGAACAGGTCCAAATGCAAGTTTTTCAAGTTTCCTTCAATTAAATCTCACATTGCTGAGCACAGCTCAGTTCTGCTCTCCTCAGATTTCCCTGAAGCCTTGCTGCCTTCATGCATACTTGTTACTTCTTCAATTCCTGGAACATCAGCACATAGACACACAAGTGAGTTTACAGTGCCCCCAGACGTTGCTAGAAAAATTAGCATCAAATAGGAGCTTGGTTTCCTTACCTCCTTTTCTCTTGTGATAGCTCACTTTAAAGTGTTCCTTTACTGGAAGTTACACTAATAGCTGAGTATCATCTACTAAAGCCTTGTTGCTGTTAAGACAGCCTTCTGCCTGGAACCATATCAAACACTCAACTGAGGTGTAGATACACTAATTGAACACAGTACATCCAGTCAAAAGAAAGTACGATATAAAGCTTTGTCACGATGTCACGAGATTTACTGAATGAACTTGCTTTCTTATAGGAATTGTTCCTTTAACATTATTAAAGAACCGGCCAAAGTAAGAGAAGCATGGTAAAAGACCCAAGCGAGGGAAACAATCTATCACCCGCTGTAATGCTTGCAGAAGTGAAAAGAAAGGTGGTCKAAATACCAGCCATTTACATTGAAAAAAAGCAACTTGTTCTCTTTTCATGCTCTTCAGTCTCTAAAGTCTGCCGTGAAAACCTGAGTGGGGGGGAAAAAAAAAATAGATTTGACCCTACTGACCTCAGTCTTTATCTCTTATAGAAGTACTGATTAAATGAATTGTTTTTAGAGACAATGAAAATCCACAGCTTGTATATGTAAGACACTACTCTCTAAATTCATGGAGCATTTTACTTGCTTAAACCAATTTGTTCCAAAACCACTACTAAATAGTTCACTCTTCCCGTTACACCTGTGATCCAGGGAGCTTCCAGAGAGATCCACCTGAACTCCACAGATAGCAGACTATTAATGTAGCAGTAAAGATCAAGAAGGGGATTTCAMAATATTTTAAGTTTTCACTGCTACTTTCTTCTCTGACAAACTRAACAATGCCATCTACTGACTGTCACAATCTGAACTTAAAATGAGTTCTTTGGTCCCTACCTGTAGACACAAGGTCTATGAAGCACAAGAGAAGAGAGCACAAAAAAGGAAGTAAGGAGGAAACATCATGTGCCAGATAAACAAACCATAAACTTATGCCTGCTGGTCTGAATTAAGATTCTGTTGCTAGTTTTGTTGAACTGCTTAACTAGTTAAGATGCCAAATTTTAGAGGTTTTACTAATCTTGATGCTACTGTCAAGAACCTGTATGCAGGACCTAAAYATACCTATCTACATGAATTTGAGAACCACCAAGGTTTTCAACAAACCTAACTGCACTTTATGTTCCAGATTTGAATGCTCACGGCAGAGTACCTAACATTGTAATTCCAAAAAAGTAACATCTGTTGCTGCTTTTCCAGGACTTTCCCTATGCTTGTGGCTTAAAAAAAAAAAAAAAAAGTTATTACAACTCCTCAATCATCCCATTCCAGCAGCACCAAAAACATAACTGAAACATGACTTTAATTATTCTTTTATATAATCACACTGTCAAAACAGAAATATCTACAATGTCACAAGASTTTGTCATAGCGAGTGAGTAATGGTTCTGTTTCGCAGTTCCTGCACATATTCTTTTGCTTGGTCAAAACCAGTCTTTGGTGGCTCTGGAGGAGGAGGAGGACCTTCCACCAGCTTCACAAAGTAATGGCATCTGGAGAGTCTCATGATGCCAAACATGCCTTTGCCATGGTAACGGATTTGCTTCACATACTGGCCTCTGCCTGTCAATGACTCAGCTGAAGGGAAAAAACAAGAGTGAAAAGACTGTTCAGTTTCAATGTTCAGTAGCAGTAGATTCTGTCAGTGCATTTATTCATGACTGCATATGGAAAGTGCTTTTTTGCAACTTTGCCTGCATCTCCCCACGCTTTCTTCTATTGGTTTTAGTAGATTACTACTACAGAACTCAAAAGTTAAATTTGCATTCATTAGGAGCACCAAGAAAGTGAATTTGAAGTGAACACACATGAAAATAGATGTTTGGTGAAGGACAAATTCAAAGGAAACTTCACTGAGCTTACTAGAGAGATTATGCAGTTCTTGTAAATACAGCATTAATTCCATTTCTTTGTGCTAGCTTGTCTCATGAACTCCCAGATACGTCTTGCAGAACTTTCTTCCTTCCTCGACTGTATTCATCATAAGTATTTTCATTATTTGCACACCCATCCCTGCACTAATGAATAAAACTTTCTTGTGGCAGAGGCCTAAGAAGGCTCCAAAGAATTCTAATCAGTTCTGCTATACAACTTGAGTTATTTGAAGTTTATAAGGTGGGTTCAATAACATTTACAGCACATTTGGCAAAACAACAACTTTTTCCTTTGGCCCTAAAGACATCTACAAGCAAAGATTTCTACAAATTTTTTCAAGGCAAGAAAATGTTGTAGTCATTAAAAGCTTATTCCATGATCAGCAACAAAACTCTTGCTGGAGTTTTGGATCAATGTGTAGGAAGAACATACCTTTATGACCTTGCTACAATTAGTTATTAAATACAAACTGTGCCACAAACACCTGGGCTGGTTTAAAGTAACTTTCTACAGACTAAGATGACATTTCTCTGCACTAAATTAAGAAACTATTTACCTATATGTAAATTTGATTTGAATTCCACGTTGTGTTTTCTTACTGCCATTTCCTGAGCTTCTAACAGAACCTGTAACATAAAAAGAAGGAAATACTGATGAGAAAATTAAGAAATCCTGTTTCTTATCCTTCTGGATAAATGTACATTTGCTTCCATTTTTAKTCAGTTAAAGAAAAATTATTCTAAGAGGATCAAAATAAGCCAACAAACTCTTTTCCAGGCASAGTGTTAGAAAGACTTATTTTTCATATAAATATGTTCTCTGCACACAGAGGCTGAAGAAGTTTATCATTTTGGGAGACAGAGTGAGTTGGGGAAGAGAAGATTTACTGGTATTTATCAGGTTTTTACCTAAGGACAGTCATCAGATTGTACAGACTAGAAATAATTCCTAAGGTCGGGAAAATCAACTTATGACATTCTATTTTAAGATAATATGATACCTCTTTGCCAGTGCATTTATGCCAGAAATCAATGCTTTGGTCATGCAGATTAGTAACTGCTTTGAGGCTAATAACTGCAGTGCACTGAAAAACTTTCACGTCTTTACAGAACTCAGTGAACTTTCCCTGATAATATCCCACAACTCTTGTGAATTTAAGAGCCAAAAGACACTACTGATGTAGCAATCATTACAGACAATAATCCTGCAATATTTATGACGACTGTAATGCCAAGTTATGGTTTAAGAGGAGAGATTTTCCGTATGTGCTCTAGCACCATTATGAGTTAAAACATGCATACAGAGGTAACTGTGCTGAATAAGTTACAAGAGTGATTGCTACAAGAATGAAAACTTGGTTTAATAGCGTTCCTAAGTGCATTAGGAAAAACTCCAAACTGACGGCAATAGTCAGAGACTTTAAAAATTCGGGGCGGGGGGGGGGGGGGGGGGGAGAGGGAAGGAGCTTTTTAAAATCCTGCTGTATACCTCTTTGATCACCTTTGCTCCTTTTTTATCACTGAATTCCAGCTGAGCTAGGGCCTGGTCAATAGACATTCCTTTTATCTGCAATTATAAAGGGTTAAARTTAATGCTGTGATTACAAGTATTTCTCTTATGCAATTCAGAAAACAGCATTTACTGATTTGCAATTATAAAAAGTTAAGAATTTCTCTAATTACTAATTTCTTCAGTACAATTTATTACACACAGTGCTACAGAATGACTAATCATTTTCATTCCTGTTCTTAAAGAAGAAAACAACCCATTACTGTACTTCAAAACTCCCTTTGCCACCTACTAATAGACAGAAGGCAGTACGAAAACTTGTTCAAAGTGCATATTCTGCATATGATCCTGTGCATATGTTTGAAAACATTCAAGGATTAACACCCCACTGGTCTGCATAAATACATGCTATTCCCCAGGATCATGTTACGAAGATGTTGATTAAACTGTGATTGAACTACAGGCTGTTGTTAAGACAAATATACTAAGCAAGTTTCTGCTCCAACAACGTACTATCAGTGCAGCAGTTGCTTACCAGTTTTGCCAGATACCACATCTTATCCTTGCTGTATTTTATTTCCCGACGACAGTGATATATTTCCTAGATGCAAAAATATAAAAGTAGACCAGAAACTCTGCTGTGAACATAAGCATTCTTTTTCTTCCCGCCCTTGTGTAAGATATGTTTTTTCCCAGGAATAAAATAAGCATGACTTTCCCTATTATACCATGAACATACCATGTCAGACCTGCCTTTGACATATCAAAGGGAAAGCATTGAGAAAGTAGTGCATACATAATTAATTTTTAATACAATCTTTTGAGAATGATTAAATTAGAAATAAACGTCCTCAAAAGCATGGTCAGAAAGTTTTTCATCTTTTCCTTTCCTTCCCCCACCTCAAAAAGAGTCTAAAATTAATTCGCCCAATCCCTGCTCAAAAAAAAGGTTTCTCTCATATGAGATCAATTTACTGGTTACTGACAAGGTGAGAAGGGCTTTACACTTATGATTGTCTCCAAAGAACCAGGGAAAGTGCCAGCTAGTAAAACTTAATAGCAGTAGGTTTGCAAGACATGACTTTTTTTTCCTTTAAGAATAAGATTTAATAACTTGATAGCTACATTTTTGTAAGCATTTCACTGGTCAACATACACAGAATAGATTTTTAAATCCTCGGTCATTAAATTCATAGAAATGGTAACAGGTCATGACTCACAGGTCATGAGAAGCATCATAGGTTATTTGCATCATCATCAAAATACACAACACTTAGTCTTCGTGTAGAACTCTTAAAGTAAGAGGCTTGCTTCTGTTTGCACTTAACTGTGCTTTCCAGCTATAAAYTTGGCAGTTATCAAAAAATAATCTTGTCCTGACTATATTAAAAGAGTTGACTGCTATTGAAGGTGGCCTCTCCAAAAGCTACTTTCATTAGCTAACAGAAGAGGATACATTAAGGATACAAGTAACAAAACATTATTAGATTCTTTCCTTCAATTCCTGCCTCAGTAGATACWAAGTATGCAACAGTCTGAAGACAGACCTACAGTATTTACATACAGGTTTCCTGAGGGAAAGTGATTTCTGCAGTTGTAAACCAGGTCAGATTCATATGACTSCCTCTGATAACTTCCATAGCTCTCAGTCCGTAACAAATCCAGGAGAATAAAACAAGCAACCAGTAAGTCAGGAAAGAGTTTATGRATATTGTTCTTAAGAGGAAGGTCCCATTAAGAGGTCACACCTTATCAGACCTCAGGTAATCTCYAAAAAGAGAAATCAAGGATTTGTGCTCTAGGGCACCAACAGCAGAAGTGCACCACTAGTTCCACCAGCTTTGTTCACAGAAGCWGTARTTTCTCTWGTTTTTACAACAAAATACACCAAASAAACTAAAAGCTTAAAAAGCAAATAAACTATTAGATTAGCACCCTAAAGGGTGATCTTGAGTGATACTGTATTCTGAAATTGTTACAAATAAAGAGGTAATAAAATATATTCTTACAGCTGGTCTGCGAGGTTCTCCAGGCAACTGTGGAGGATAAACAATCCTGTTCTTTTTCTCCCACTTCCCCAGTTTCTCCAGAGGTGCACTTGTGTGGATGCATGACAGAGGGAAAACACGACCAGATGTTAACAGCCTGCAAGACAAAATCACATTCTTTGGAGTTGAACACAAAATTCGATTGCTGAATACAAAATATCCAATTTAGCTGGACAGTTGTGAACTTACTTTGCTTCATAAAGAGAACATAGGAGACAASCCATCGATGAAATGAAATTGATTGAGCCTTTACGCTTTACATTGAAAGGATTCTCCCATTGGACAAGTTCCTAAAGCAAGGCAGGAACTAAAGTGACATTTGTATAGCACCAGGTGCCACACCAAGCACCCACCGATCCTGATAGAAAGGTATCGGCACCTCTTTGTTCCTATGGGGGTTCAGTATCCACAAAAATAATCCACTGCTTGCAATTTTCAAAGATCGGTCAACATCTACAATTTCTTTTGTAGTATTTTTTAGTTTTTCAAGGGACTGAGTACCAAAATATCAGAAGTGCATTCACATCCATCCTGTCTTAAAACTGAAAGTTAATTTAGAATTACTTTAAAAACGCAACAGAATAGTGGAAAAACACTTCTATGGTTTTTACTCCATTCCCTTAGGGATTAAGGCTAAACTACATTTTGCCCCCTGCAGGCTAAAGTGATGCTGGGCAAGTCACACCTGTAAATTAAGAGCCTCAATAAATAGGAGTCAAGAAGAGGAAAACAAGAAGCTTGAAAGCAAGAGGTAACAAACCACAGAATCTTTTCCATTTTGGCTTGTGAAAGATCTAGTTATTCTATTTGAAYGCAGCATCAAATGCCTGAGGAGGAGAAAAACAACTCTAGAAATCAGGAAAAATATACTGCAATCAAAGCATAACTTGAGCTTTTAAAAAGTCTATTCCTAACTTCATTAAAACAATATATACTTTGCTAATTAYTAGTCCCACTCCTCATTTTAACTTGAGAAAGAAATAGAACAAGCAGCTCTACTGACCAAGTGTGAATTAACCGAAACAAGAACAAAAAAAGACCAATGAATGATCACACGAATAAGCAAATGCATCCAAATGTATCTCAAAGACATTCCAAAGTATCCTTATCATTCCATTAATCTCTAACCAAAAGAATCCAGACTGCTCAGATTCTGGGAGTTTTACAAAGCCTAACACCTGAAGAGCTTTACATTGGTTGCCAAACTGCATCAAAACAACCTATAGCAAACAGCATGTACGGCTGGAAAATGTTCACATGCTCTCAMAAGCAGGCAGCATAACAGCTAAATTAAAGCCTTACAGGTTATTATGACAGCTATTCATCAAAACAAGATTTTCAGTTGTTTTAAGTTTCATTCCACAAGACAATTCATCACTACTAACACATTACTGAACAAAAAACATTGTGCAGATTAATGGCTGAATCCGCGGAGGCAGCAGTGAACTAAGCATTCGCAGAACATCCCAGTGCATTAAGAGCTTAAGGTTTAAGGCAGMGCAGATGCACAGGGAGGGCAGGTCTACCCTTAGTGTCCTTCGGGAGCACCAGGGCACAAGCCAGGGGAGAGAACGATGAGCAACCAAAACATTTACACACAGGAGACGGAGGAGGTAAGGAGCCAAGGAGGAGCAGGTTTCGGGGAGGCGCTGGGCGGCAGCGGGAGGCAGCAGCGGCGCCGCGGGGCCCCGCGCGCGGCCGGGCCGCACTCACCTCTCCGGGCGCGCCCAGCCGAGGAGGCCGCGGGCCCAACCTGCAAGGGAGAAGTGCGGTGAGGATAGAAAGGAACGGAACGGAACCGAACCGAGCGGAACCGAGCGGAGCGGAACCGAACCGAGCGCGCGGCAGCCCCGGCCCTCCCCGCCCGCCGCTCACCCGCCGCCATCTTCCCCGCCGCGCCTCGCTTTACGGCGGGCGCGCGCGGCCGCTTTTGCGACGGCGTGCGCGGGCCGCGGCGATGGCGGCGGCGGCGGCGGCGCGGGTGCTGCCCGCCTCGCCCAACTGGTACAGCAGCCGCTGCAGCGACGCCAGCGCCGGCGGGCGCCTCTTCGGCTTCGGCGCCAGGCACTGCGTGTGCCTGCTGCGCGTGGCCGCCGCCKCCGCGCCCGCCTTCCACGGTAGCGGCCTGGGGCGGCGGCGGCGGCGGCTCCGCCACGCTTTTATAGCGGGGCCGCGCGAGCACGTGGGGAGCCGCGAGCGGGGCTGGGGTGGGGACGGGAAACGGGACCGGGACTGGGACCGGAATGGGGATGGGAAACGGGACCCGGGCTGGGATGGGGACGGGAAACGGGACTGGAACTGGGATGGGGATGGGAAACGGGACTGGAACTGGGATGGGGACGGGAAACGGGATGGGGACTGGGACCAGAATGGGGATGGGAAACGGAACCGGGGCTGGGATGGGGACGGGAAACGGGACTGGAACCGGGATGGGGACGGGAAACGGGACCAGAATGGGGATGGGGACGAGAAACGCGAAACAGGACCGGGATGGGGATGGGAAACGGGACCGGGATGAGGATGGGGATGGGAAACGGGAAACGGGACCGGGATGGGGACGGGCAACGGGACCAGGATGGGGATTGGGATGGGGACGAGAAACGGGACTGGGACCGGGATGGGAAACGGGACTGGGGCTGGGATGGGGACGGGAAATGGAACTGGGACAGGGATGGGGATGGGAAACAGGATCGGGATGGGGACGGGGATCGGGTGTGGGCAGTGTCGGGGAGCCCGGGCATGCAGTGCCCCCGGCTCATGTTCCCACGGCACTTCCCGCAGGAGAGCTCGTGGGCCACACGGAGCGGGTCTCCGGCTTCACCTTCTGCCGCTGCCCCGGGCAGGAGGCGCTCTGCGCCAGCAGCTCCGACGACGGCACCGTGCGCGTGTGGGACGCGCTGGGCCTGGCGCCCGTGGCCGAGCACGCGCTGCACCAGGTGGGGCGGCGCGCGGGGAAAGGGCCGCGTTGCCGCCGGGGGCTCGCGCACAGCGCCTCGGCCACGGGCGGGTGTCCAAACCGCTGCAGCCCAAACTGCTCCCTTCCCATGGGCAGCTTTTCCCTCCAGGTTAAACCCGCAGCCAGGCGACAACACRGGGTGTCCTCAGAGCTTTGGGAAGGGCCGCTGCGTTTAGCACGTGCTCATGGCCACTCAACGCAGCCCCCTTAAAATCCCTTGGCCAAGTGAATCTGCAGAATAAATCTAGTGAAACATCCCCCTAGGCTCCTTCAAATGTGTTTTGATTCTGTTTCTTTAGAATACAATCTCTGCATTGCACTGGTCGCCTCTTGTGAAAGATTTGGTTGTATCCGGTGATGAGAAAGGAATAATTGTCTGTTACTGGCACAACAGAAATGACAGCCAGCAATTCTTCCCAGAGCCTCGGACAGTTTTTTGCCTCACTTGTTCTCCTCATGATGAAAACCTGGTGGCCATTGGGTAAATATTAATTACTTGGTTGCTTTCCATTCTTTTTTTTTTTTTTTTAAAAAAAGGTCCTTGCAATTGATTTTTTCCTCGTTAGACAATTGTATGATTGTTTTCTAAGAGATCGTGGCAGCTGGTTTTTGTTGCTTCTTCTTTCCATTGGTACACCGCACCCCAGAAATAATTTTCAGATTAGACAGCCCTGCAAGACCTGCAAGTTTTCTGCGTGTAAAAGCCACTGTTGTTTGTGAGGTCTGAAAGCTACGTTACTAATGACATTTGATTTCATTCACGAAGCCTAAAGCACTGTGCAGTCACACTCGGAAAGGCAGCTGTGTGTATCCCAGTGCTGAACTGGAGTTCCACCTGCTAATGAGTTTTCCAGTCCCATTGCTGCTGTGCTTTGGCTTCCCTATCTGACATACATGGATAATGCTAACRGCCTGAGAACAGGCTTTGAAAACAAATCAGGACCAAGAGTTTCTTTATTTACTCCAATCTTTGTTTTTAGCTACAAGGATGGCATGGTGGTTATAATCGATATCAGCAGGAAAAGAGAAGTTCTGCATCGGCTGAGAGGCCATGATGATGAAATACATTGTCTGGCCTGGTGCCCTGTGCCTGGTGAAGAAAGGCTACCTGCTTGGCAAGATGAACTGCAAGGTATGCAGAAGCAATTCACACTTTGTAAAGATTTTTAGTTTATATGTAAATCCTCCTTCTGGACAACTCAACTCCGTATTCATAGAAAGATAGTAGCTAATCAAAGGCATCTGATGAGTTAAACTACAGTGTTTTGTGATACAGGGCAATATGGTTTTAGCTGATTTTTACAGTCCTTGAATTTTAAAGTATAACGTGATTTTGACACTAATCAATATTTCCTTTAGAAGAAAGTGAAGTTCCAAATGGGGATCCGACACAAGATACAGCTGTGAAGAAAGGTTGTTACCTCGCTTCAGGAAGCAAAGATCAGACCATACGAATATGGAGCTGTACTAGAGGCAGAAGTAAGATTAATACATTAATAAGTACACATTAATACACATTTACTTCACATTAATAAGTGAAATAAATAATAAAAACATGAAAGATCTGCTTTGCTATAATACTGTCCATAATGTACCCAATGCCAGGCTTGATGGTTAGCAATTGTTTTTTATTTTTGGCATAAAGAAGTCAGAAGAGGAGAGTTAGGATGTTCTTSGTGTCCAACAAGAGTAGGACAAGAAATAAGCAGATAAAAATTCATGTTAGACATTACAAAAATAATTTATCTGTGAAAGCAATAAATCACTTGAATGCATCCTCTCAGAAAGTAAGATTTCCCTTTGCACAAGGACAGTGGGGCAGAGGAGACGATAAAGAACCACTGAGGTCGATTTCAGACTGGGATAGTCAGATCTCTGTATATTTCTCGGTGACTAGAAGCCAACTAAATATACTTCAGTGATTTAGAAAGTTGGAACTAGAGTACTTGCAAAGCACAGGAGAGTGTGCTTAAAACTCTGGATTTGCAGGATTGACTTTACTGTCAGAGAATTTTGAGGTACTAGATCTGGATGATCCCTTTTGGTTCCATAGGTGTGATGACTTTGAAGTTGCCACCCACGAAGAGAAGAGGTGGAGCCGTTGATCCCGCGGTGAAAGAGCGCATTTGGCTGACTGTTCACTGGCCTTGTGGTCGTTCCAAAGAACTTGTATCCAGCTCTTTTGGGTAAGGATGGCACRTAGTCATCTGGCACACTCAATAACCCTGCATGTATTATTGATAATTAAAGATAGAACCACAAAAGAAACCTTGAATACACCCACCCCCTGTCTCTGTCAGGGTAACTGGAGAGAAGACAGGACAAGAGTTATTCCAACTTCTTTAAAATAATTATTTACCTCAGTATTTATCTGATAAATAGAAATAATGCGTGCTACAAGAACCACTAATATTTTTGTTCATTTAGTATTTAATGGGAGAAAATGGCATCACAGCTTTGAATATGATTAAATGTGGATTCCACTTATAGGTCAAGGGGAGAAGTATATATGTATAGGCCCATATCAGAGATGTGCATATATTTGTATTGCTTATACTTGCAGTTTGTATATATGGAATACAGGCTGGATATATATCAAAGTTCTTTTAGAAAGTGAACTATGAATTGCACACTTTTAATTTGTAGGGGAGAATTACTGCTCTGGGATTTGACCCAAACTGGGAAACGCAAGTGGACGCTTCTAGGATCTTCAGAGGGACAGAATCACTCACGAATTGTGTTCAATCTGTGCTCCATGAAAATTGAAGACAAAGAGCTACTCTTTTCCATTTCAATGGACAGAGATGTAAGAACCATTTAGATAACAGCATAAAAATAGCAGTGCCTTTGCAGTTCAGTTGATTGAGATCATCTCTCTTATGGCCACAGACTTTCTCCGAAAGGGGGTTTATTGCACAATTTTCTTACAGCATTGTTACAGTCTGCTCTAAGCGTATCGGTTGTGTATATTTTTATTAGTTCATTAGCTCAAGCTTTTACTATAATGAAGAGATTGGATATGTCCTTCTGGATCGAATGGTAAGCAATTAATAATGAGTGCTTACCAACTCCTTTGACTCTATGTTTCATTTCATTCATTAGTAAGAGCTAAGTATCCTTTTTTAAATGAAAAGCAGTACTGATTGTAGACCTCTTTTCATGATCTGTAGCATCTATTCATTTTTTTCTTCATTTTACTTTTTTTAAGGCAGCAGAGTCTCTTATTTGAAGTCAGAAGAGGAGCTGAAATATTGAAGTGTGCTGATTTTGCCTGTTCTGTTACAGTTTTCCAAGTAGCCCTGTGTCTGTGACATATTCTGTTGTGACTGAAAATAATATATCAAGTCTTGAATTTGGCTTTTTGACTCTTTATCTTACTTGTGCTTTCTTCTCATCGTACCAGTCGCTCATGCATTGACCCATTCCTTGTTGCCACATTTCTTCAGGTGAAGTGTTGGGACCTGTCAACTCTTGATTGTAGCTGGACAATGCCCTCGCTTGGGGGATTTGTCTATAGCCTTGCCTTCTCCCCTGTGGACACAGGCTGTCTTGCCATCGGTGTTGGGGACAGCATGATTCGGGTGTGGAATACTTTGTCCATGAGCAATAACTACGATATTAAAACATTCTGGCAAAGCATAAAGTCCAAGGTTACAGCAGTAAGTGTGCTTTTGATTCCTTTTTCTTTTGYTTTCCTCCCATTTTTGCTCATTCTTCTCTTCTGAAGATTATTTTTTCCCACTATCTATATCTAATAATAGATCTATCT